ATGATCCGGTTCTTTCAGTTGAGCCAGTCAGAAGGATTCATGAAACGGTCTAAAACTTAGGGTGTATTCACACCTGTCTTGTTTGGTTTGATTGAATCAAGCTCAAGTTCATTTCCCCCTTTGGTGTGGATCTTTTGGGCTGGTGTGAATGCAGCAGTCACACTCGGGTGCGGACCAAACAACCGTACCAAGACCCAGCTGAAGAGGTGGCCTCGGTCCGGCTCCAAACGAACTCTGGTACGGTTGAATGGATGAACCAATGAATGGATGACCTTAGCACTTATAGACCTTATGCATCAGAGAAACAGGTGTGCAGTGATCTTTAGAATGCCTTCGAACTTCCGTTTTTTGCAGTAGCTCTATAACATCACTGTTGAAGAGTATTTAGCTGGTAAAGTGGATTTACTAATTGTAGAATTCATGTGCATTGTAATTTTCGAAGCGGATGTCAAAACAAATGTCAGTAGACCAGAAAGATTTTAAAACGAGAGGTTCATTCATAAATTCGTACAAACTTATCTTCATGTTGTGGGAGTACAAACGGAAGACAGAAGACAATGAGCACAGTGCTGAAAAGGGGCAGGGCTACATAAGGTCTATACCAAATCATTTTGATGACAGATTTTTACTTTTTTTGATATGCATTTACAAATGCAATAAATGTTTCCATCATAGTTTTTTCATATCTCTTCTTATTGGATGAACTCATTTGAGCACATACATTTTTTTTTTGTGCACATTTTTAGAATTTATGTGCATCGTGGCATTTCCATCCAGCATTTTTTTTCTGCGATATCCCAATAAAAATAGGTGGATGGAAACATAGTTAATGAGTCTAGAGTCTTACGCCCTGTTTACACTAGTGCGTTTTCGTTTTAAAATGGCGTTTTAAAATGAAAACGTTCATCGTCTACACTGGTGTTTTCACTGCCTTTCAGATTCAACTCAATTCAACTTTATTTATATATCACCAATAAAAACAATGTTGACCAAGGTGCTGTACAATCAATCAAATATCAACAACATTAACACTCAGAACAACATAAATTACAGCACAGAACAGAGCTAACACTGCACAATTAACTACAGTTAAAAGCCAGAGAAAAAAAGATGGGTTTTGAGTTTGGCTGTAAACTCATTCAGTGTAGAGGCAGTTCTAATAGAAACCGGTAGGCTGTTCCAGAGTTTCAGAGCAGCAACAGCAAAGGCTTTGTCACCTCTTGATTTCAATTTAGCCCGAAGAACGTTTAATAGTCTCTGGTTGGAAGACCTAAGAGACCTTCCAGGATTGTGAGCAGTAAATAAATCAGACAGATATACAGGAGTAAACCCATTCAGAAATAAATAAAAACCAACAGCAGGACTTTAAAAACAATTATATAACGAATTGGGAGTCAATGCAAATATATTAATTTGGGGTAATGTGATCTCATTTACACACACCAGTAAGGAGCCTAGCAGCAACATTTTGTTCCATTTGAAGTCGATTAAGAGATGCTTGATTAATACCCATATAAAGGGAATTACAGTAATCGGTAATTTCAATAATTTACAGTAATTCCAGAAACTATCGCCGTCTAACCTACACAACCGAAAACGCATGTCACATGACCATTCCTGCAGATACAACCATAGATGTGTATAGGTAGATTCCCTATTATTTAGATTGCGGACACGTCTGTGTGCTTGGAGCGGTCGGATGAGGAATCTACCTATACATATCTATGGGTACAACGATGAGAATTATGTTATTGTTTACACGGTCGTCAAGGATATGCAGGGAGAATGTGGGCAGCCACGCCATAATTTTCAAAAGTCTCAGTTTTGGTCTGTTTACACTGAAACGCAACCCCTGGATTTTCAAACTAAAACGGGGTCTGCAGCATTTTCAAAAGTCTCCATTTTCAAGGGTCGAAAACGCCGGAGTAGTGTAAACGACAGGCGTGACGGTAGCAAAAGTTATGTGTTTTAAAACTAAAATGCACTAGTGTAAATGGGGCCTTGGCTGGTCAGGTAATGGAGTTGCACTGGATGCTGTCTGCTTGGCCTGGTCACAACGAGAGCACAAATGTTTGTGCGCATGTAGACAAATGAGAAATTGCTGTGTTTAGTTTTGGGTAATTTCTAGTGCATCTAGTACAAGACACCCTCCCCTCGACCGCAGTCAGATGATCCCTAAAGCATCTTACTCAGACCTCAGTGGAAATGGACTAGCTGTGTATATTTGAAAAAGCACAAACTCGCCTACAACGGAGCGTATTTGTCCTGTGGAATTTAAATTCTTATTGAGAAACCGCAGGCTGGTGGATTTTAGTTTCATTTTCTATGCCTTTTTGACAAGGCTTGTGCTACAAGAGAAAAAAGAAAGTGCCCCCCCCCCCCCCCCCCCCTT